TGGTGGTGGTGGCTGTTACAAGGTGCCCAGCTATTGCACCCAGAATCCTGTACCCAACATACCGGAGAACAACCAGGTGCGTCTGCTGACCTACCGAGGCGCCCGTCTGGCTGCCTTCACGGTTGAGGGCAGGGAGTTAATCTGTCTGCCGCAGGCCTTTGAACTCTTTCTCAAACACCTTGTCGGTGGGCTGCATACAGTCTACACGAAGCTGAAGCGTCTGGAGATTGTGCCGGTGGTGTGCAATGTGGAACAGGTCCGCATCCTCCGTGGACTGGGAGCCATTCAACCGGGCGTGAATCGCTGCAAACTCATCGCACCCCTGGAGTTCGATGTGCTCTACGCTGACTGTACCACCTCCAGGTTAGTAGCAGTCCAACGCCTTCCTTTTTTTCGAAAGTGCTGCTTAGCTGGCCGTCATCGCATCAGTGAGGTTTGCACTCAAAGGTAGTAGCCTCACGGGGAATCGAAGACTATCCTTAGAATAAAAGCAGACAGGCATCAGAAGATCCGACGTTTAAGAGAGAGAGAAAAAAATGCTTTATTTTGAAGGTGAATATCCAAAATTTTCAGCAAGAAATGGCTTTATTCACGGAAAGCAAGGGATAAGGCAAGGCAAAAGGTCATAGAAGATTCAAACTGTAAAGGTGTACACGATATCCACATCGGTTATGGATACAGGTCAGCTTTCAACTTCCGAATTTCCGTTTCTTCCCAAGGAAGGTAGCCTGCTAAGAATAGGGGTATAGAGTGCTGATATGCCGATGTACGGCAAGACGTATGACGGAAGCTTCGGCGCATATTACGGGAAGACTGCGTAGCCATTAGTTCAGAGCGGAGGGGGTGAGCGACTTCATTAAGGATCCGATCAGAAAATTGCTTGACAGTTTTAAAGTGTCGCTGTACTATATTGTCATCTAAAAAACATAGGAAACACCGGCAGCTGAAGAGTGCATGCGGAGGATACGTTTAAAAATGGCTAGGTCTTTTTATTGAAAGCTAGAGGAATATCTGGAGAACAGTAAAGAATGAGGAGGAGAATGCAGGCATCTATAAATCGCCAGATTAGGGCTTGCGGTGTACGATATAAAAGCAAACAGCTGATATAATACAAAAGTTTACGGATTTTAATAAAGAGGCCTTCAGTATGAAGAGTAAATGAGATGTCATATGTCCTATGCGAAAGAAAAAATCTTTTCTGTTTTCCTAGTAGAGGTCTCTGTTGGCAGCTATGCGCCAAAAGTTAAAATATGGTCTTTGAATCAAAAGTAAGTTATTGAGTAATTGAGTAATTATGCCCTTTTCTCAGCTTTGTTTTCTTTCCGGCCCAAAAATTCAAACTGATCATTTAAAATTTAATTCAACCTTTGTAGCTGGAGTCTTTATTAACTACCATCATTAATATTTTTTGTAGTTCTGGCGGTCATTTGCTCTGAGTTCGTAATGTGCAGGTGGAGCTTGTTGCGGGATTTTTATACAGACCTGTTTGACCGTAAATCACCGAACCTGCTTCAAATGTTCAATAACCTGAAGGTAGACAACTGAAGGGTTATCTGCAAATGTGCCCTGCATAGCCACTGCAACAACTCAACATCTACTGCTGGAC